AGAGAGAGCGCTAAGAGTCCTAGGACGCTGACCCTTCCCATTTAATGATAATTTTTGAAGTAACAAATAGGAAAATAACATATAAACATGCTTAATAAATTGTAAGGAACCAAACATAATGAAGTACAGTGTCACAGGTTTCTCATTGTCCCATTGAAGAACAATGTTTCATGAACAGGGTCCAAAGAATATAAGTTGCATTTACTTTTCTGCCACAGAGTATAGAGTGGTATGTAGGGACATGGGCTATACATATACATACATACATACATATATATATATATATATACACACATGTATATGTATTGGCCTTATCAACATTTATTTATTTATTAATATTTTATTTATTATTTTTATTTTTATGTGTATGCCTGTATTGCCTGTGTAGGTAAGTACACCCGTGTAGTGCAATGCCCACACAAGACAGAAGAGGCTGTCAGATCCCCTGGAACTGGAGTTACGGACAGTTGTTAGTTGCCATGTGGGTGCTGGGATTTGAACCTGGGTCTTCTGCAAGAACAACCAGTGTTCCTAACCACTGAGCAATCTCTCCAGCCCCCTTATCAACATTTCTTTTCATCTGAAGTCATGACTCACAGGGTCACAGAGTTGGCAGGGACTTTTGGGCCACTATTCCAACTATCTAAACAACACTTGTGTTTTGAAATACTTAATGGCAGTTAGTCTTCTACTTTCTGATTAAAATCTCAGATGATGATGTACTGCTTCACGATGGATTCCTCTACTGTTTAGGTAGTTTATACATGTAAAACTCTGTATTGTGAAATCTGGGCTCTGCCTTCCCTGTGGCTTTCATCCATTGGCCTTGGTTCTCCATCTGGAATGTGGCACAAAAGTCCTGGAGACAGGCTTCATTCTCCTCAGCTTTTTCTTCTCTACCCTAAATGATTCAAATCTTTTTGTAATGTGCTCCTTGTCTACAAAATGTTCACCTGCGGATGGGTTTGTTAGATCAGAACATAATAATATATGGACTAACAACAAACACCTCACTCAAGACCTGGACCAATTTGTGTTCTGTCAAAGGTATTTATATCAATGCTGCTACATGCTTTGGGAATGCTTTTATTTTTGTCTTTTACTTTTCCACCCAATTTACCTTATATTACTCTTAAAATCAATCAATATTTTTTCACAATTTGATAGTTGGTCATTTCTCCCTGATTCTCTACGTATATAGTTTTCTGGCATCAGAGCAGGCCTTCATGTAGAATGTAATTGAATTAGACCTACTGTGCCATCTATTGAGATTTTCTTATATCCTGGTTCTGTCACTAAATACATTTACACTCTCTGCTGGCTCCACACTGGCTGCAATCTTTAGAAACAGTCCTTGAGAAAACACTTGCACATAAAAGGGTAAAAAGGAGATCATTAGAGTGCTATAAATTCTAACTGTAACATTTTGACCTCCTGTTCATGTTAAATTTCTATTCAGCATTCAGCTGTTAGTTTTAGCCAGGGCTTGACACAAGAAATAGCTATACAAAAA